CGGAAAGGTCTTAACGGGCCGAAATGGGCTGGGTAGGCCTAAATGAGCCTCAGCGACTGGGTTCCGTACTGGGGTGATGCTTTGGGCCTTTGAAGTTTGAACAATAGCAGGCAAGGATAATATTCTCTAACAACCTTATTCTTGATTCGCGTTTCAAATTTAATGCTTTTCAAAATTGTTTAGAGCACCATTACACTTGTGTTTTGTCCATTACCTATGTACGAAGATAAGCTCATAGATCCTAAAGAGCAGCAATACAACGAGGTTTAATAACTTACTTCATCAATTATATAATGAGTTTCATGCACAATATGATAACGCACCCCCTCCCCCAACACGGACATCTTCTTCATCTACCGGAAAATCATTATTGAAATCTACATTTGGTAATCTTATAAAAAAAGTAAATCAACTCCCACTGTTGCATAAAGCTCGATTAACGAGCTTTCTTTTTACCTAACGTTTCCTATTGACTATGAAGAAGGGGATGACTTTGACGTTCTGCAGTGGTGGAAAGACAAAGAAAGTACATTCCCGATTTTATCGAAGATGCCTAAGCAAATGCTATCAATGTTGGTATCAACAGTTGTCGTGGAACAAGAATTTATTGTGTGCGGCAACGTCCTAACGGATTATAGAACGAGATTGAGAGCAAAATCTCTTGAGATGCTCGTTTGCTTCAACGATTGGTTGAAGGCCCGTCGTAGAACTCAAGAAGTTTATATTGCTCCCACCCACCACTTCATGGAGGAAACAACAACCGATGGTGCCGGAGATTCCGACTGATTTTTAGGAAATATATTTAATGTTTTAAATTATTCTCAAATCTCAATTGTAGTTCACATTTCAAATAAATGTACTTTAAATTTGTATTGTCTAGCACTTGTTGAATTAATTCATAAAAAAATTATCAAAAAAATAATCCTCAACCCGACCCGACTCGAGGCTTGCCCGGGCCAACCCGGTCGTGGTACAAACATGGGCAAGTATCGAGCCTGATATCCTACGATCCAGTCCTTGCTCTGACCCGTCTCAAGGCCAGGTCCACCACTACCCGTAATACCCCCTTCCATTCCTTCCCACCACAGTTCCTTCCTTCGCTAGCCAATTCAGCTCAATCTGTATGTATGAATGATGAACCGGACAATAATTTGGCTCCACAACTCCACAAGTAGTTAAACTGCGATGTCTTCCCTACCCAATTTACCACTTACATTTTCCACTTAGGGATGGGCTAGGCTCCAGGCCCGGATTGGGGCGGGACTGGGTTTTGGGATGAAGGCCCGGTACCGTCCCAGGTTGGAACCGTGACCGGGCCGAGCCCAGGTCGAGTTTAGTTTTTTTTAGTTTGGTTTTTCTGATTTATTCCTACCCCAAACCACCCAACCCACCCATCTAGTAGCCAAACCATGCGAAAAAATCTATAAAAAAAAGGTCCTGGACCGACCAGGCCGGTCCACCAAATTAGCATCTCGTGGCCTGCCCCAAAATCCCCCGGTTCGGGCCTCCAGTCTCGGTCCCAGTCGGCCAGGCCGGTCCGATCTCCCACAGTAACAGGTCGGGCCAAGTACCGAGTCAGGCAAACCAGCCCAATCCATCCCTATAATTCCACTACCTCGGCAGCTTGGTCTTCGCAGAAATTGAGCCTCCTAAGTAGGCATGGACCGGTTCCGGTTCGGGCCCGGTTCGGGCCTAGGCCCGGCCGGGCCTCGGTTCAAGAAGGGGAGGCTCGGAACTAGGGGTGGATTCGGTTTGGGCCACCCGGCCCGTGACCCGGCCCGACCCGGTACTGTGCGGGCCCGGGACCGGCCTGGTCGGGCGGTCCGGGACCGGGTGTGGACCCGAACCGGTGGGAATGGGCGGGGTGGGCACGGTGCTGGATAAATGTGACCCGGCTTGGGCGGGTCGGGCCCGGGTCCGGTCTGACTTTTAAATTTTTTTTTTAAATTGGGCTACTAGCCGTTGGGGGTGGGGTGGGGACAACCCAAACGGCTATATAACCGTTGGGTGGGGTGCAGGGGGGTCCGGGGGGGTTGGGTGGTGGGGGGTGGTGGGGGGTGGGGGGTAAAAAAACCTATAAATACTCCTAATCTTAAACATTTTTTCATATCTCTTCTCCAATTCTTCCTAAAAAAACCATGACGCCGACCAACCAGCCTCATCCCAAACAGGTACAATAAAAAGTAAATCTGAATTAATGACTAATAATTTTTCTAAGTGGAAGGACCCGAACACCGGGAATTGGACCGCAACTTGCAATTGGTGCAAGAAAAACTATAGCTTGGGGATTTCCGGCGGATACGGATCCGCCACAAGACACCTTAAGTCCAAACACCCGGTGGAGTATGCAAAATTAGGCGGCGGAACGGGGAAGCAAACGCAAATATCGAGGTTTGCAAATAACCAACAAGCTTTTGGTAATTTCTCATACAATGATGAACAAAATTTGACAGGTATGGCTAACTTACTTGTTGAAGAAAATTTGCCTTATTTGTTTTCTGAAAGTCTTGCTTTTCGTGATTTTGCACAAACTTGTTTAAATCCGCAATATAGAGGTTATAGTCGCAAAACGGTTAAGAAAGAAATTTCAAGGCTTTATGGTGCGAAAAAGGTAAGGTTACAAAATTATTTTGCAAACTTTTATGGACGTGTTACTGTATGTTCTGACATATGGGAGGATACTTATCATAATTTACATTATTTGGGTCTGACTGTACATTATATTGATAATGATTGGCATATGCATAAACGTGTTCTTGCTTTCCGTGAATTTAATGATCGTCACACCGCTGAACATATTTATATTTTGATTGAACGTATTTTAATTGAGTATAATTTAATTGATAAGGTGTTTGCTATTGGTTTTGATAATGCTACTAATAATACTGCTGCTATTCCTAGATTGCGTGAATTGTGTGGTTCTACTTCTTTGATGGATAGATTTTTTCATCAACGATGTGCATATCATGTTCTAAATTTATGTGTGCAAGATGGTCTAAAAGCGTTGGGAGCATCGTTGGAGGTAGTCAAGGGGGGGGGGGGGGGGGGGGGGATTAGACGTATTTGGGGTAATGGACAACTTAGGAAAAAATGGCATGATTATTTGATAGAAAGAGGTGAGAGATATGTGGCTTTTCCTAAAGATTTGTCTATTCGTTGGAATAGTACCTATAAGTTAATTGGAGTTCTTCTTAGATATAAACAACATTTTCCTGCTTTTATGAAACAATATGATAACTATATTATAAACTCGGCTGAGATCGACACCTGTGAAAAAATTTGTAATGCTTTGATATATTTTAATAATGCAACTGAAACTTTTAGTCATGTTTATAAACCTACCTCAAACCTATTTATTCGTGAAGCTGTTAATCTCGCCGGTGCTTTTTCAAATTTTGAGAATGCTGATTATGTGAGTTATTTTGCTAATTTTATGAAGGAAAAGTTTTTAAAATATTATTCACATATTCCGCATATTTATGGTATTGCATTTATTCTCGATCTTCGTTTTAGAATTGGTTCTTTAGAAGAATGTTTGAATTATTATTATGCTGCTTTTTTTGGTCCATTGCCAATGTATGAGGACAACCCAATTGATCCGAAAAAAGAATACAACGAGGTTAGTGATATATTTTATGCATTATTCAATGAGTTTCATGCACAATATGGCAATGCGCCCCCTCCCCCGACACAAACATCATCTAAAGGAAAATCAATTTTCAAATCTACGTTTGCCAATCTTATTAAAAAAACGAAATCAACTCCCGCTACACAACAAAGCACAATTAATGCGATTTCTTTGTATTTAACTTAAGATGTTGATTTTGAAGAAGATGATGATTTTGACGTACTAAACTGGTGGAAGGAAAAAGAAAGAATGTTCCCGGTTTTAGCAAAGATGGCTAAGCAAGTGCTATCAATGCCGGTTTCAACGGTTGCCGAGAAACAAGAATTTAGTTCAGCCGGCAATGTCCTAACACAAACCAGAACGAGGTTGAGCGCTGAATCTCTTGAGATGCTTATATGCTACCACGATTAGTTGAAAGCAGCCCGTAAAGCTCAAGAAATTGACATCACCCAATCTCAAAACTTTATGGATGAATCTACAACCGAGGGTGGCTCTACCTATGCCGGAGATTCCGATTAAAAACAATTATAGTTCCTATTTAATTTTCAAATGTAGTTCCTATTTCATTTCAAATAAATGCACTTGAAGTTTGTTTTTTAATACTTGTATAAAACTATAAAGTATAAAATATAAATTAAAAAAAAAAATATTTAACCGGCCCGGCCCGGCCCGACAGGTGGCCCGACGGCCCGACCCGTGACCCGGGCGGGTGGCCCGGCCCGAACCGGACCCGTCCAACCCTCGGGCCGGTCCCGGGCCCATGTGATAGGAACCGGCGGCCCGACCAGGCCTAGGCCCGACCCGGGCCCGACCCGGCCCGAATCCATCCCTACCCGGAACCAGGCCGGGTCCGAGCCGGGCCTCGGGAATTTTTTTTTTGGGCTTTTCCTAGTTAACCCCCACCCCTCTTCCTCACCCCCAAACCAACCCTAATCACCACAAATGGCCCAAAATACCCAGCCCGACCCAAAAACTCAAAAAAAAATTAAAATTGGCCCGGCCCGGGCCCGAACCGGCCGGGCCGGTTCACCTTTTGAAGGGCCCGAGCCCGAACCGAGAATCCATCGGGCCGGGTGCCCCGAACCAGCCAACCAACCGGTTCACCAAGCCGGTTCGGGCCCGCACAGTGGCAGGCCGATCCGGGCCCGCACAGTGGCGGGCCGGTCCGGTTCCAGGCCGGTTGGCCCAGCCCGAGTCCACCCCTACTCCCAAGGCCCTAATGGATCTAGGCATCTAGAATTCTAGATTCTTGCCGACTCATGCAATTGATGCAAAATTGCAAATCCTTGCAACGTTTATAACACGTGCTGTTTCATATTCAAAATTAATCATATTGCCAGTCGTAATTGATGAAGTAAACGAACATGCAACATTTACAAGACAAATCGGTCAAAGTAATTAATGAAATGTCCAGTTACATTGACGGGCAGCACAAACAATAACACAGGATATGTAATGTAATCCTCCTCCTAATTGAAGAATTAATTAACTGTTAATTCTTAACCAATAAACAGATTGATCGTCAACCCTTTACACAAAAACTGAAGGGGGGGGGGGGGGGGCAAAGCGGAATAATATTATGTAAGAATATATAATAATGATCATACGCGCGGATTAGAATGGCAACTGAACCAACCAATTGGTTTAAAAAATAAAACTCATGAGAAAGAATTACTACCACAACCCAAGAGACAAATGACAGACACATGTACAAAATAAAACAAGGCTTCATCACACACAAATGGAACTCAGATCATCAAGGACTTGTCTGATGCTAGGCCTTTCGTTAACTGGACGAATGCATTTTAATGATATGGCAAGTAAATCATCCATAGCTTTCGAGTGTTCTTCTCCCCCTGCTATGTCACGGTCTATACAGTCCATTCCCCTACCTTCTTGATTGCACAGGGAAACCCAATCCGTGAGATCAACGGCACCAGGCTGCCCTGAGATGATGTCACCCGCACTTCTTCTCGTCAACAGTTCCATTAGAATCACTCCAAATGCATACACGTCAGCCTTTAAAGAAAGGACGGGTTTGGTTGCATTTGCAAGTTCAGGTGCACGATAGCCAAGAGCCCCTAGGTTTAGTATCTGCTCCGCATTTCCACTTGACGTCATCAAACGGTGGAGACCATAGTCCGCGACTCGGGCACTATAATCACCGCCAACCAATATTATATTTGTGGGCTTTAAGTTCCCATGGGGCAGGCCTTTCTCGTGCAGGAATGTCAGGCACCGAGCAACCTCAACAGCAATGTTTAACCTCTTGTTGAAGGACAACGTGGAATATTTACGAGGAGTTGTCTCTGCAATTAAAATGTTGCAATGAAAAACACTCAAACAGAGAGCAAGGCTTATTTATTACTCCATCTCTCTAAATGTTACCATTTGTTATGAGCATGTACAATAAGAACGTAAAAACGGTGTGGCTGAAATTTGTACAAGAGGAGAGAGGAATAATATAAACCTCAAATTTGGTTTCTTGGAATGAAAAGTGGCAATGTTTTGGGGGCAGCCAAATAAGGAAACTTGATAAAGTTTAATGAGATGGAGGGAATATTCAATAACGACATTTTATACTAGAATGGATGGAGTACTTGAAAAGAACATAAAATTGAAGTGCTGAAAGGTGTCACTAAACCAACTCTAAACGAGTTAATAATAAATACCTAATCGATTCCTTTGATTATTACTCAATTTGGTCATTCTTGATTAAATTTAGGCTCAATTTAATCTTCATACATATTTCACTCTAATTAAGAAGGGCATTTTACTAGGATGAGGTCAAAATCGAGTCAGAAAAGCATAGTTGATGATCAAACTGGGTCCTAAATTAGGTCTAGACATAGTCAATGGAAAAATACCCTTATTCCAAAGCAAATATGTATGAGGACTAAACTACATCTAAATTTTATTGTCAAGAACCAACTTGAGTCTGAAGACCAAATTGAGTAATGATAGTGTACAGTTGTCCAGTGAGGAACTAAATCGGGTATTTACTCAATTCAAAGAGAGCTACTGCAAGAAATGCTCAAGAATTGCAACAATATCTTCATACCATATAGATGAAGGGCTAAGCTGTCCCCGGGAATGTAGTCAGCTAGAACCAGCCTCTCTTGTTCTCTTGGACCCCAGTAATAAGCTCTTAGAGGAACAGCATGTGGATGTCTTATTGATCCAATCTTTCTAACTTCCCTTGCAAATTCTTTCTTGTCTTTAACTAAACCAACACGTAACCATTTAACAGTCAGCACAATCCCATTTCCTAAGGTAGCTTTATATAAAGTGCCATGGCTACTTCTACCAAGAACTTCTGCAGGAGCTCGAGATAGTTCCTCAGCTGTAAATGAAATCGAGCCATCTAAGAAGAAAAGCTCTCCGGCCAAACGATCCGGAGAATATACATCCAAAGTCACAGGTTGCTCAATTGAGTCAATAATGTGGGGAGAAGAAGCTATAGGGGAACCAGGGGAGGATCTTTGTCCTCCAGATGTTGCAGTTCGATTATCTAGTGTACTAGACTGTACGATCTCTGTGGTGGACTCCATTTTCCTGGAAAATGATCTGGATTTTGATGTCAGAAGATGGTCATTGGAAAAACTTAATGAAGTTGTTGGGGGTGGGTCTGAGTTGGCCTGGAATTTGAAAAGTGAGGACCGGTTAAATATTCCCGGTTTAACATCACGACCAACAGATTGATTGCCAAACCCACTTTGAGACTGAAAGTTTTGAAGTTTGGATCGACGATAAGCCAGTAGAACAAAGGCAATCATTATAGCTGCTCCAACCGAGGCAACGATGATCGCTACCTTTATACTTGCTTTAGAGCTATGACGCCTGCTGGTACCAGGTAACTGAACAGGAATACTATCAGGTTGTGGATGGTTTGTCCAGACAAGCAGTGCATTTCCAGGATGAAATGACGCAATGGGAAATCTTTTCAAGTTTTCAGGGATACTTCCGGTTAAATCGTTGGAGGACACCTTAAACACCTTAAGATTCGAAGAGAGATTGTCAGGGATCCTTCCCTTAAAAGTATTATTGGATAAATCAAGATATTCTAAGCCGCCAAGTTTACTTAACTGGGAAGGAATCTCACCTGTTAAGTTGTTTTTACCAAGATTTAGAACTTTAAGCCTGGCAAGGTTACTTATGTCAGGAGGCAAATGACCTGACAAGGAATTACCTGAGAGATCAAGATTTTCCAATGGGGGGAATGAAGGGAGGACAAGTAGTTCTTTAGTATGTGAGGCTCCAAGAGGGATTGATCCTGACAAATGATTTCCAGAAAGATCAAGGGTCATCAAGGTTGAAGAAGCAAAATAAGTAGGCGGAATATCTCCATCAATTTCATTGGCACTAAGATCAAGTTTGACCAGTCTTGAAGAGGTCAAAAGTGAAGGAGGCAGGTTGCCTGAAACAGAATTGTTATTGATGCTTAGAGAAGTCAACTGTTGAAACTGAGAAGTCAAATTAGGAGGAAGACTTCCGGTCAAGCGGTTTGAGCTCAAGTCTAAAACTTCAAGATTTGCTTCCCAACTCTCAATAGCAGATATATCACCAGTGAGCTCATTGCTACTCAAGTCAACAACCAAACAATTTCCAATGGATGAAGGAAAACCAGAAAGGAAATTAGATGAAATGTTTAGAGTCCTCATAGTAGTTGAGTTTACTTTCTCAAATGAGCCTGCAAAAATAAAGCAGTGGAGTTCATTTTGCTTAAGTCATGATACACGAACGAAACAAAGACTACTTTGCTGTTCAAACTTAACAAAAAAAAGATAGAATTGCTTAACACTTTACTGTTCCGTCATTCAAATTTGTTGTTTGGAGAACTAAAGAAAGCACAAACAAACAACTTTGGCATTTCTGTGAAGTAAAACTGAAATTAAAGTTTGGCTTGTTTAAAGTAAGAAGACCAAGAACCCAACCAGGCTTGGTTGAGAAAGACTGAAATTATATATAAAAGCCTACATATTGCTACCAAGTGTCCCGAAACATGAAGCACCTCCACAACAATATTACATGTTTATACTACTTGTACTGCAGATTGTAACTAAATAATAACTGAAGCACAATTTCAATAAGAACATTCGAAGGATTACTATTCTGCTCAAATATCAATCATAAACATATAGGATGTGGGCTTTGTTTAACTACTATATGAATTTACACATTAATTTTCCAAACAAGACCTAGAGGCTTCACATCTTGTAAGGAACAAATGAAAGACATAGGGTTTCTTTGCAGCACTATAGCTGACCATCAAGATATAAGAGATAACCCCCCCAAACAACTCCAGTAGAAAGACCCGTGGAAGACAGTACCAACAGTTTCATCAGCTTGTACAAAATATCATGTTAATTGAATTTGGTGAAAGCTTTGGTAAGATTTATTCAAGGGCAGAACATGCAGATTTTTTTGAAAGGAAAAGTGTTTTGTAACATACATTTCAGCCAAACAAGAAACTCAGACACTATGTATTCGGCTGAGAAGCCATAACCTGATACCAAAAGGAGCCTTAACGATTTTGTATTTACAAATGAAAGCACCGAGGACAAGTGTCCAGCAATGTAAAATTCCAACCATACTTGACGTATGGAGCACTACACATTGAACTATAAACTCAATTTCTATGGTTTAATAGCATATAAACTGATATTGACATCTAACCTGAAAATCCATTGCCGCTGAGATCCAATTCCACCAACCCCTCCAGAAGCTCATCTGGAATTGAACCGTATAGCTGGTTATTTGCTAGTCTTAAAACCTTCAGATTCGGCAAAGATCCAATAGAAGGGAGTTGCCCCATTAATCCATTGTTTCCCAAATCCAAAACCCTCAAGTTCAGAAACATCTTAATGGAGTCCTCACTAAAAAATCCGCCAGCCAACTTATTATGGCTCAAGTTCATATGCTGCAGAGTATTAGCAAGACTAGATACATTGTTCCTACTAATCTGGAGCGAACCAAAGAATGAATTCCCACTCAAATCCAGATATTCCACATTTCTGAGTTCTGATAGTAATTCCGGTACATCGCCCCAAAGCTCATTGGAATGCAAATCGAGAACTTTCAACTGCTGCAAATTCCCAATTCCACGCGGAAGACCACTACTAAAATTATTGTTGGACAGATTGAGATAATTCAAACCCCAGAGGTCGTAAAGGCGGGCAGGGACAGGCCCGTAGAACTGGTTCCCTGACAGATCCAAGTACTGCAACGAGGTCATGTAGCCTAAAGCGGGTACGACCCGACCCGTGAATGAGTTACCAGAAAGGCTAAGGTTTCTGAGCTGCTTAAGACCATTGAGGGTATTAAACTTCAAGTCACCGGTTAAGCCGAGGCGGTCAAGGGCAATGGCAGTGACGGAGCCAGATTCGCAAACTACGCCATAGAATTTGTCGGGGCAGGATGACAGATCGGAGATATGCGTCTGGTTCCACGACTCGAAGACTTTGTTCAAAGGATCGTCCTTAATGCCTTTTTTAAACTCCAGTAGTGATCTGACTTCCTGTTCGGCGGCGGAAACATAGCCAAGGGTGAATAGTAGGAGAAGCAAAGGAAGCAAGACTGTTAGAACGGTAGACATTGAGTCAGTGAGCAACATAATGTGAGTGAGATCAGTGCTCTGAATGAGTCATTGAGTTGAGAGGAAGTCAGAGAGCATAAATGGAGAAAATAGTTTACAGAGAAAGAATGGTGCTTTGTAGGGGGGAGAGTGAAGGGGGTGGAGGGTAGGGGTAGAAGAAAAGGAAATCCAAATTGGAAATTAGGGTTTATATAATCGAAGAGGTTCGAGCAAATGAGTTGTTTCCTCGATATTTTTTCTTTGTTCGGTTGGACTGATGCGTTTTGTGTACATGTAGACTATCCACGGGGTGTTGAGGTAACTAATTTTCACCCATACAATGAGTAATGAGATGCGCGGTATATAAATTAAATAATAATATTAAACAATACTAGTTAATGTCTAAATGACATGATAGAGTATATATGTAATACTCCAAAACAATTGTAATTAAGATAAAAATATATACGACTCGTAATTGGTACGAATACTGTTTTGGGAGAGTAAGGAATAAGAAACATTATAATAGGAAATTCATATTCTACACGTTTCTAAATACTTCTTTGTAGACAACATTGATAGTACGGTCTAGTTTTTCTCCATTTTCACCGCATATGAGTATCTTCAAACCTTTGCGATTTGTCACTCTCGATGCTACAACATATAGTTGACCATGTGTAAAGACAGGTTTTTTCAATATAAGGCCAACATGCGTCAACGATTGACCTTGACTTTTATTTATTGTCATCGCATAAGAGGTCATCACAGGAAATTGTCTTCTTTGAAACTTGAAGGGTATTCTTGAATCTGATGGAGTCAAACTTAACCTTAGAATGACAACTTCAAGTCCTGCGTATTTCCCCCCTAAATTTTTGCTCCAAATATGTGATTCCCAAGCCGTGTAATAATCAACCTTGTTCCATTACAAAGGCCCATAGAAGGATCAATATTCTTGAGAAGCATTACTGGAGTACCCACTTTAAGGATTAACTCGTGATTCAGAACTCCTGATGCACGGATTTTATTGAGGAATTCAGGAGTGTGCAAGTCAGCCAAGAAATCAGAATCTGAGTCTGACTTGCAGATGCTATCAGAACTCAAATATGTCCTAGACTCTTCTTGAACATTGAGAGATGTCATGTATTCATTGATTTGATCCACAACATCAAGAGTTGGAGCTAGAATTGCACGCTCTAGCAAGTAGGACGAATCATTGGCAATATTCTGAAAATTAGGATATGTGCTTTCCACAACAGTGGCAATTGGATCTTCTCCACACTCTAATAAAATGTCACTTGGAATTCTGACATCAGCAAATCCATCATTGACTTCGCCCACAATACCATCTCCTAGATCTGCAATCCACTTCGCGAACTCTACCAAATCTTCGTATTCACGATCGTCACTAAGTGATTGGAGCCTCATGTTCTTCGTCAAACGCAACACAATGCACTCATGCCAAATATACGAAGAATTAATTGTGGCATTCACTATGTCTTGTCTGGTACCCTTTGTAATGACGGGTAGAATTTGCCTAAAGTCTCCCCCGAACACCACCGTTTTCCCTTCAAATGATTTATCTCCGTTATATGAATTTGTAAATCTGAGGATGTCTCTCAAACTCCTGTCCAATGCTTCAAAACAATACTTGTGCATCATTGGTGCCTCGTCCCATATAATGAGTTTGCATCGAATTATCAATTGTGCTAATGGACTCCTTTGTTTGATGTTGCATGTGGAGTTCTCAGTCGGATTGATTGGTATCGCAAACCGTGAATGAGCAGTCCTCCCACCGGGTAACAGTAAAGCTGCAATGCCACTGGATGCAACATTTAGAACAATTTCTCCCTTTGACCTCAAAGCAGCAGACAATGTTTTCCAAACAAAGGTTTTTCCTGTACCTCCATAACCATATACAAAGAAAACCCCGCCTTTGTTTTCATGAACTGATTCCATAATCTTTATGTACATGTGACGTTGCTGATCATTCAGACTATCAATTCATTTCTCATGCTCTTGACGTAACGCTGCACGATCCTATTGCAATTCGTCAAATATAAGCCTATTCTGAGTCATAGATGATTGACTCATATCACGGAATGGCATTGATGGATAGTTCTTTAAGCTCCTGCCATTCCTTTTCAACATTAGCTCTATTTCAATCAGTGCATAATTTTTAATCTCAGCCTCTGTCAACGTTAAATCTAAAACAAAGAATTCAAAACCACATTAGCATAACAAAGATATGTATATTATTATTTAAAAGATTAAATATCATGAAAACCATAGTAGTATTTGTTTGTACCGGGATGGAGTAAAACTGTTCTATGTCTGTGTAAAATGTCATCTGACATGAATGACCAACATTTTCTCCAAATGTACTCTGGTCTACTCATCGTATCTGCGATCAATAATATGACAAACAACTTTCTGAGCACCCATGATGAAGCCCAAAAACTCCCCTCTGAAATTCCTTCAACATATTCTTGGTCATCATCTAACAATCTCATTGCGTAACATGCATCACGATATGTCTCATAACAAATCCCATCCACAGTTCTTAGATCATCGTAAGATATAGGCCCACGCTTCAAATTTAGGAGACGGCGTAAATAATAAGATTCTCCTGAACCTGGAGGGACATAAGTTAGTCGACCTATAGCAAAACCCTATTTCTGAGGTACAAATTCTCTTGTTGCAGCCTTCCAAACAAACTTTTGAGAAAATTCAGCATAAGTTAAATCCGCTGCCTCATTTGGGTACTACTGATTCGCACTCATCCATGCCAAAAACATACTCTCCTTTACAGATTCACGTAACACAACATCAGTTACCGATGCATTATCTTCAAAGTAAACATATTGCTCGTCTGGAAAGTGAAAGTTCAATCGTTCAACAGATGGATTCTTATACTGAATCTCAAACCCCAGTATTCTCCACATTGCTTCACATGGAGAAATATACCTACAATCATAGTAGAGTTTTATTTCATCCACGGGTTTCTCATTTTCATCTGCATTTGAACTTTCATAAAATCCAGCTGTCACACAATCATGTCCTTTGTTGACGTATTTGAACAAATATTTGATTGATTGGCCCTGATTACACCACTCAACATTAAGATGAGCCTCGTACTTCAAGAGTAAATACCTGTTATGGGGAACAACATATCTATTGTCAAGTTGTGTTACACCTTTCACAACACTCATTCCATCATTGCGCCTTCTATACCTTGGATAACCTTCATCGTCAATGGTTGTCTGTTCATTGAAATTCTTGGGGAAGTGCTTTGAACACTTAGATTGTACCATGCATGGAGCACTTTTTGCTTCATTTCCACATGGCCCATGCATCATATGTGTTCGTACTGCATTGAAATATTCAGGATCATTTGACTCATCAGGTATTTCTGCAGAAATGATGCCATCAATGTCCGCCGCTGTGGGAAACTTGTCTGCACTTCCCATGAATAACAAAATATGAGCGTGGGGAAGGCCACGCTTTTGAAATTCCACCGTGTATATCATTGCACATAAAAATATACACGCATCACTATAAATTTACTATACTATATATTACATTGAATTAAATAGGATATTGTTGTGACATATGATATACCTGCTCGGACTTCGCCAAATATCTTATTTTGACGTAGATCTTAAATCAATCCATCCAACTTCATCTTGAAAACTCGACATACTATATCTGGTCTGTCTTCAGGACTCAAGTTTCTCTTTTTGAGAAATCTTACAACTTCTGGCCACATTGGATTGCATGTGAACGTCAAGAAAAGACCCGGATACCCAGCCCAACGACATATTGCCATTGAATCTTGGTAATTTTGAACCATGTAACGTGCTCCTCCAACAAATGTAGGTGGTAAGACAACTCTCTTTCCTTGGGTAGAAGCATCTCTCTCGCCATTAAGCAAAGCATCAGAAAGCCATTTGTACATTTCACACCGCAAGTGTTTTTGATGTGTTCTGATGTACATTAGTCTTGAAGACTCAACCATTGTATATCCATCAACGACAAATTTTTGGAACAATCTTCTACTTTGGAGGATGAAAGTGCATTCCGTGCTCCGCTCATGCAGTCTATATGCCAAAAATTCGCTAATGCTAACACTTCGACGACCCTTTGTAGAATAACTATTACCATCACAAAAGTTAATATCCTCCCTATAACCATCTTCACCAAAGGGAAAGAGAAGTGGATATTGCAACCCCAAATATGCAGGATTCAATTCATTTATACGCTTCAAAAGCCCTCACTGTGTTTCAACCATTATATCTCTTTCACCAAGTGATTCATCAAAATCCCCCACAACCAAAGCTGCTACCTCTGAAACCGTAGGTAGATTATAAGTTCTAGCATCTTTGTTTCTCCTACCTATCAACTTCAAACTCACTTTTGCCTCGCCACCTTGAACAATCTTGTCTCTAACCATCCTAATGACTTCACCGAAACATTATGTTCATCAAGCATTCCTCTTAAAGTTCCCACGATTTCTTCGTGCAAATTGTTCTTTTTGGCATCGTCTCTCACAGAACTCAAGTGGTTAAGATCCTCATTTTGTGTGTCATATATATATATATATAGTTAGGCAAACTGTTAGGCCCTAGATTTTGTGTAAACAGTTTTGATGATGCCAAAGCCTTTCAAATGCTCCCCCTTCTTTTGTAGCATTAGGAAATCAAATGTGTTGTATTTTGTGTCAACCAAGTGCCAGCAAAGTGTTATCCGAATGTGTCTCATTTGTATTATCAATTAACAAATAAATATAACTGGAAAAACATAAAAAGCAATAAGGTAATCCTCATTATCTTAAAAAGGATTTCTTATAGATCCAACCAGTTATATTTATTTACAAAAAGAAAAAGAAGACACTAAGACATTTCAAATAAGTAAACTATTCGACTGGAACACAAAAAATAATAAGGTAATTGTTTGTAGCTTAATATGATTTGTTATCCTACCAGTTGAATGTTTATTTATGATCAAAATACTAGTTCGGCCAATCACAACCAAGTATGACCAGAAGTCAAAAGAAAAATGTATGTATCAAATAAATTATACCGGAAAAGAAAAAATGCAATAAGGTAAAAACTACCTTAAAAAGGATATTTAAATCCTACCGGTATATATTTATTTGATTACGAACATTTTTATCAAAAGGCATATTGGTGTGAAAAATGTGTCAAAGAGAGAACAAATAAATGTAAAATTTCTAAGACTAATAATATTATTACTGGACAGTAAAAATGCAATAAGGTAAATTTATTTACCTTTAATAGGATATTTAAATCCTACCAGTATAATTTTATTAGACTCAGAAATTGTTATGTTCGAACAAATTTACCATGGCGGGTAAAACAGAGCCAATAAATATCCAGCATGGAGAACCGACGTACAGCATGGGCGTACAGTCTGAAGCCTAAAGAGAAGTCTGCAGTGGCTAGGTGGGCAAAACAAAAACATCCCATAAGCTCCGAAGAGGAAGATAAACAACAAGTTGTTTATCCTCTGCGATCAAGATTCAACGAACAAGATTAAATCATCTCAACCAACGGATGAGATTAATCTACCGGAGATGCCTATAAATGAAGGCCGAAGCATGAGTTAAAGCGACTAAGTTTTTGAGCTCAAAGCAGAGAGATTCCATAAGCATTCAAAGAATATCTAGCAACTCCGCTTTGTCTCATGCTTCACTAAGCTCTTAGAATAGATCATCATTGTCATACTTTTAGAGCTTAGTTCATAGTTGGAGACTAGAATTTCCTTGTATATCACAAGGTGTTGTAAAACACTTCAGGAGGACAGTTGTTCCCGGCCTGAGTGTTGTTAGATAGGTCAGGAGTACCTTTTGATCCCCACTGGATCAATTGAGAAAAACCTAAAGGATTGAGTAGCTTGGAGTGGTGTTGTACTCCTCGTGAAACACCTTCAATCTAGGCCAGAGTTGTCAAGGCTAGATTGGCACTAAGTGTATTGGGCTTAATACATTAGTGAAATCCATTTGAAATAGGATGGGACTGGATTTAGGAGGATTACACCACCTCTGAACCAGGATATACTGTGTGTTGATTTACTTTCAGTCAACAAAGCACACACTGAACACTTCTCACATAAAGATTGGAGTTTGCCAGCAGCATCCTAAGCAGTTGTCTTAATTGACCCAACTGCTTATCCTACTGCTTAATTACTCACTCTCTTTGAGATAGAAGAGCTTCACAATATCACAACAAAAAGGTCTGTTTCATTAAGATTTCAGGAAATACCACTTAAGGCATGGCAGTTGCCTCAACAGTCTCCTAAGGACTACACAACTGCTGAGCCCACTGCTCACACAAAAGTATTTCCTGTGAACATCTTGACATTACTAGACCTTTACATCTTTATCTCTAAGAAGTCCGTTCAAAATAATCTCTGTGATTCAGGGTGATAACCAAGCAGGTACTTCTACAGTTCCCTCACTATCACCTAACTGCCTAAGACCTCTGCCTAAGTAAAACCCTCTATCTACTTGGCCTAAAACACATCTTCTGTAAGCCCACATCATCCTGAGCTACACCATATAATCAAACCTTCCATACCTTCACCATTACTTCAGCAGGTGACTCAGCAGTTCCCTGGTTTCCACCCAACTGCTGAGACAACTGCTCTCATTTAAGGTTGATTATCAATCCACCTCAGTACATCATCAGGAAGCTCTTCCCACTCCCAGAAAGATTCTGAATGAACCCTCATCATACTTCAAGTATTTGGTAAGCAGACGACTAAGCAGTTCCCTGCTTCCTAGCCAACTGCCTAGCCAACTGCTCACCAATAAGCAAAGACTTCATCCATCACAGAAAGTTGTTACACATTACATAAAGGGTAAAGACTTCCGCTGTGCATCTATTAATCTCTCAAAAGATTATAGATCAACTCTTCTAGAGGGAAATATTTGTAAAGGTCGAAAAGATTTAAAAGTCTATTCACCCCCCCCCCATCTAGACTTTTACCCTATCCGGGACCATCACAAACTTTGGGACACTGCCTTCTTGTGGCAACAGAGACCCTATTAGATGATAATTCTGACCACCAACTTTAAAAGTTGGTGGTCCCCCACCCCTATTAACTGAATTATCTATCCTCCCACCCATCGATGTGAACGAAAACATACTATTATATGATCTGATATTATGTTGGAAGTGTTTACTCCTCGGATCTGCCCCGTTAATCAAATCATATAATTCAGGTGGGGGTCCTTCAATTTGGGCAATACTATTTTTCCTTGCGTGCAACAAAGAGAGTACTCGGGGTTGGTTTTTGTAGAATTTCGAAGTGTCCTCTCATCAAACCAGAAAAGTACTCCACAGTGGGCACAATTATGTGATGGGTCCCCAATATCACAATATTCAGCACTTACTGTGTCTAGAAAGAGAAATTATGGTTATTATTAATATTAATAATTATTAAAATATGGTTATTTGATATTACATATTATATTTTAAACTGTTATGAAACTTGGTTATTTGATATTACTTATTATATTTTAAATATTTCCATTAAAAATAATAGAATACAAAGTTTTGTATATAAATTCGACTACATCACTAAAAAATACAAACCTCGAATTTAAAAATAATATTAATAACAATCGCACCTTCAAGTTGTTGTGGTTCTGATGAAAGATTATTTTGTATATGTGTTGATACTTCGTCACAGTTATGATGGTTGTCGTCTGGGCATTGGTCTACATTATTGATATTTGTTGTCCTCACACTCGAAGAACGATTAAATGGCAAATGTAATACTGTAGAAGTAAATACAAGTACTACATAATCAATATCATAAAATATTTATGGGCTAATATAAATAGTAAAAAGTAAGAATTACCATTCGTTCTATCAACGAAAGCATCTGATGATCAACTGTGATGGTGCAAGGAACGTTTGTGAACATTACAGTTAACATTTTCTGTCCACAAAGTCGATTAAATATAAACATGCCCTCGATTACATGATTCCAATACAATAAACTATTTCTATTACATGATTCTAATACAATAAACTATTTCTATTACATGATTCCAATACAATAGACTATTATTATTTTTAGGAACTTTTAAACAATATAAGCAAAACTTTTATTCACAAATCTTACTTTGGTAAGGGTCATTATACAAATTATATTTTTAATCATTAAAAAATAACTTGAAGCCATTATGATTCGAGTACAATAAACTATTTCTATTACCTTATTCGAGTGCAATTATGACTCACTTGATTTTATATGTATTACCAACTTTAGCAACTCATTTTCTATTAGGAGTAATATTTTTGAATCTTATTTAAAAATATAACTTATCCTTTTATTCAGAAATATTACCCTTATTATATGATTTTTTAATTTTATTATTATCATTACCATTATATGTAATACACTTTATATTTTTTAATCATTAAAAATAACTTAAGAATTTTATCTCATATAAAAAGTCTCAAAATCCAGCTAAGTTTTAAGTTATTTGAATACATATTTTCAGCCCATTTGTATCAAACTATGAAATTTAATATAATAGACTAGATATTACTTAGCTTTTAAACCAAATTGAGCCCAATTTCGACCCAGCCCAAGTTATTCCATTTAATCCGTCCAGCCCAATGTCGACCCAGCCCAATTTTGTATTAAATACAGTATAACTATACATATTAAATACCGACCTAACCCACCCAAACCCTAACAGTATATAAGGTCGTTTATACCTATACGTATCATTCCTGACCTTTCTAAACCCGTCGATTAAACGTCGGTCTCCTTTTCTCTCTTTCTCTACGCTCTCTCTGTCGATCTTCCTCCGTCTTTCTTCTGCAATATGTATAGTTATCTTCTATGTAATAACATCTATAACGTACCCGCTATTCATTGACATCCGGCTATGGATGTATTCGTTAACAGATCAACGAATCGAAGGATTGTAGTCCTTTTTCGATTCAATGAACGGTATTAGCGATACTTTATATATTTTTGTAAATTAGTTTTAGTTTTCAGTGTATCTGTAATGTATGACCTATTCCCAGCGAATGATCCGATGATCGATGTGTTATTACACATGTGAGGAAATCGAACAGCTGTACTCTATGAGGTTTTTGTTTTAGTTTTCGTTTTTCGATTTAAAATGTTTCTGTACAGCGTCTCGTTGTTTGGGTTAATTTTTAAAAATCATTGATCATATATGAATTTTCGAATAGATCTATCTATATCTCTAAATTCGTGGCAAGTGCAGGTTTTAATATTAATCATAGATCATTTTGTTGCGTTCAAATCTATTTTGATATATAAATTTTGAATCCGAACACGTTAATGTAAGGCATATAGCATTTGTTGCGCTTAGATCTAAGGATATATGCAGTTGTGATGCGTATATGTCTTAATAGATCTAAATCTGTTAGATCGAGCATGATTTGCGTTAATTTTTGCGTTTATATGTAAAAGCATTGTCCATACGTGGCTTTCTGAATAGATCTATCAGGATCTCTAAATCTATGGTTTGTGCATTTTGTAATACTAAACAGAGATAGTTTTTCTGCATTTAGCTTCGTGTAGATCTATATATTGTGTGTTCAAACACGTTTTTAAAAGACATATAGCATTTGTTGCGTTTAGATCTGTAGATCTATGCAGTTGTGATGCCTATTTGTCTGAATAGGCTCGGTCTATCTAGATGTTTGCATCTGTTATGCCTACATTGATATGCATTAGTTTTTTAATTAATTGAGTACTGAGGTTGGGCTTGCCAAATTCCCTGCCAGCCACGTAATGGCCTTCGGATCCGCGCGGTTTGACAGGCCCATTGCCAAGTACAGTGCATCAAGCAAACTGGTAAGGATTGCCTCTGACCTTTATTACTGAGATGCGGAACAATGCCAATGGACTGACTAACGTGTTAAATAACTGGCCCAAATAGATATGTTGTTTATGAATATTCTAAAACGTATTAAAAACAACCTACTTTTATTATCTAGTTTTGCAATTATATCTTCTCATTCAAATTGTTTATTATCATACCTTGGTTAGATAGATCCTCTTTTGCTCTTTTACGGTTGATTACTGTTGATTTAGTCAGCCTTCTCATATTTAAATTCACCACAAATACATTACCTGGATTTTAGCAGGGTTTTTTCTGGCATCAGCATTATATATATTATTATAAACTGCTAAAAGATCCATACATTGCATAACTGACACATGTTATCATAAACAATTGTATTTTAACATGTGAATGATACATATATAGTTCATCATTGTCATTCTTCATTCAAACTACCATACATTGAACATATCACTAAAGATAAAGATCCACATTTGTCATGCATATATTAGAAATGATTCATTTTACAAATTCTTGGTTGCATGGACTCATCCAATCAAAAGACATCCCTACAATCATATCTTCATTAAAGTACTTGTTATTCAGATTTATAATCCGACCAGATTTCCTTGGTATCATAGAAGACGCATCTACCCATTCTGCACAATCTTTGCATAAGTAATCCACAAACTTTCTGTTCTTGTTTATTTGCCTAATGCAAAAAAAGTGACTATAGTTTGAATGACACCATGAGCATGCATCCAATAAAATGCCAACACAATGTTTTCCACACGTATAGCATCCTCGAGTTGAATGTACCTCACATGAACACTGACTCATCTTGAAAATCTAGAATGCACAATAGGTTATGTAAAAGCACATTCATAAAAGTAATGCATGATATGTGATGTATCTATTTGGTTATGTAATTCATGGTATTTGCATAATAATGTGTTTCAACCGGCGATAGAAAATACAATATCAGACTTACACTGGATTAAGATTCAATGGCCTGTGGTAGATATATGAACTTCAGTCCATGTGAGTGCTGTTCTGCTTCGAATGTTTGCTCTGTCTCATAAATGAATTCATTAGGTAGTAGTTGAGGTATTCAAGAGTATTTATGTTCCACATTGTGAAGATGCTCCAATACCGTTGGTAAGTAGCCAATTCTGTCATACATTTATTATGATTGTGGCCTTAGATTATAAGTGAACCTTGGGAACACGCTACTTTCAACCACTTTGGCCAGATATGGTACTCAGCGTGAGTACTTTCCAATGCCGGATTTCAAAAATTCTATTCTCAGGTATGATTTTAATAAATGCCACCTTTGGAAGACCCACATTTCAACAGCTTCGTCCAGCTTTAGTATTTGACAGAAACACTTTTCTATATCGATTTTTGTAAATGCTAAACTAAGCTTTAGTTCATGACAATTTCTGGCTTTGTTTTACTGGAGTCAAACAATCTATTTTCTTAATGTTATATCCTATTAAATTAATATTATGTTGTATCCATTTGTCTTAGCGAACTAATATTTTATTGAAGTGTTTATTAACTTTTACACTTTTGTAAGGCCTGCATGTTATATAAGTATACTAAAATTTGTATATTTTTTATAACATTGCATTAGGCCAATATCAAATGTGCTCAAACTATGCGAATTAACTAATTTTAATTATTTATTATAAATTTTTTATAGACATCTTAAAATCATATCAGTAATGATGGTATTTTAAATTCTATATTTTATAATGGAAATTCTATATAATTTTACTCATTAAAAAGATAAAAAATTTAAATGATATCTTATTATATGTTTAGTGTCTTACATATACCACTAACATAGTTCTTGTATTTAAAATGATTTTATGCAGTTATAATTTCTCATACCGATTAGAAATTAGATATATTTTGAGCACACATACAGAATATTATATTATTACAATAAGCTTTTAAATTAGTTATATACGATATATATAAAGTATTGTTGTCACTTGTATGTTGTGCAAGGAACTGGCCTCACTATCAATCTTGCTTACTCTTATTATTTTCATTTCAGGTGCATTCAGGAACATTAAATTTTTGTTTTTGTATTTTATTTTTTAGTTTGATGAATGTAATTTATAGGTATTTAGGGCTTTTAAAAAGGTGTCCTCATATGTAATAATTAAATAGTTTAAATTTAGGATGCAGGTTTCCATATCCACACCAAAGACCAGGTATGTGTTCTTACGTCCAATATCAACCGAGTGAATATAGATGCACTTAAACATTTTAGGCAGCAAATAGTGTATGGTTGCATCTCTACAGGTTTTTTAAAAGTTAGATATAAAATTATTATAAAGAATTTTTAGCACAATTTTAATTATTCCAATTTATAAAGGCAAGATTTTTTGCAAAAATATATTTTTCATATCCGGTTTTGTTTATAATAATTCTATCCAGAGTTTGCCATGTAATTGTGTCATTCCCTTTGTAAAATTTATTTCCTCTGAATTTTCTATGTCGAAAATTGGTTTTGTTCATGTTTATTTTATAGTTTTGTAGTTAAAATTTTATAAAATTGAAAGGGTTTTGTCCTCACATGTTTTCAAAATTGGAGACCTCTAAGTTTCATTTGAAAACAAATCATATCTACAAATACTATTTTTCAAAATATTCATACGCCTATAACGATTGTAAAAGTTCTTACTGTATTATCAAAACTGAATGTTACATTTTTTATCACATAGACACACACACCTTACTAAAAACAAATGATACAAATTTACAGAATTTGCTGCCTATAATTTATATGATAGTTGGTGTAATTCACTTATTCACACATGTCATCCGTCTATCATGGTCTTTCATATCACAATATTTTTTCTTCTCTCATCTTTGTATCTTTGTACATGCTTTATACACCTAACCCTGCAAAACAGCTGACATAGCAAAAAATCGAATATAGAAAGAAGTATTGTAAAACATAGAAAGTCCTAGGTTGACAATACTACCATCCCATATCATCCAAGAAAAAACATAGATAGAAAATACCCAGTCATAGACTTTTAGGTTTAGTTATTACAGACACACGGCTTATAGTTTAGCAAAAAAAGTTGAGTACTGTCTCAAGTCTCAAGTAAACATAGCACTGCATAGACCAAATGTTCAACAAATCCACATTAGTGAAATTTTTCTTCAAACAAAATAGAGTCTTGGTCTGTAGGTTTCTTTCCACAACTATTCCTTTTCTTGCTTAACCCTGACACTCCGCCTTTTGTTGTTTCCGTTAGCTGAAAACTGGTCATATAGGTTCCTGTTGAGTTTTAGTCTCGTAGATCCGAGAGCCCAACATAACTTCGGATATTAGGGATCATGGATTCGGTATAAAAATGAATAAATATATAAAAGTGTATAAACTAGCTATTTTTACGTGGAAACCCGAAAAGGGAGAAAACCACGGGACTTTTTAGGCTAACGTCCAAGCCCGCTCTTTCTCATTATTACCCTCCCATCACTCAATTACATAATACATGTATAGAAACCTCCATCAATGGAGTATGAATAAGCTAATCTAATCTAAAGAGGATGGGGAGGTAACATTTTCCCCAGCCGAGAAGAGGAAAGCAACCCCTCTCTAAGGAAGAGCCCTCTTCCTATTTATAGAAGGGAGGGTGGGGTATTACTCTTATGGGCCAGCAGGCCGGTTGGGCCTTAATGGGCCCAATTCCTATCCTAACGGGCCGGTTAGGCCGAAGACGGGTCGGGTAGGCCTAAATGGGCCTTACTGTCCGGGCTTCATACCGGGTGATGACTTGGGCCTCTGAACAGTAATAGGCGGGATAATATTCCCCAACACAAGTCCCCCAGTTTCTTGAGTAGTGAGCTTGCAAATCTACTCGAGAAAGTATACTCTTGCTCGCGCCCTTTTCTGCCATCCCTGAATTAGTCTTTGAATAATCTTGGGCGCAAGGCATGCATAATCCATAAATGAGGTGCAATCCCGTACTAGGCACGACGGCGCTGTAAAGCCAGCCACTCGTGCTGCATAAAAAATGGCAGTCGTCATCCTAGATCAAGGATGGACGAACCCGACTGTGAGTCACGCACGACGGTGTTGTGGAGCCCGTTCGTGCTGCAAAAAAAGCGGCGGTCGTCATTCCAGATCAAGGATGGACGAGCCCGACCGAGAATCAGGCACGACAGCGCTGTGGAGCCCGTTCGTGCTGCATAAAAGCGGTGGTCGTCATCCTAGGTCAAGGATGGACGAGCCCGACCGAGAATCAGGCACGACGGTGCTGTGGAGCCCGTTCGTGCTGCATAAAAGCGGCGGTCGTCATCCTAGATCAAGGATGGATGAGCCCGATCGAGAATCAGGCACGACGGTGCTGTGGAGCCCGTTCGTGCTTCATAAAAGCGGCGGTCGTCATCCTAGATCAAGGATGGACGAGCCCGACCGAGAATCAGGCACGACGGTGCTGTGGAGCCCGTTCGTGCTGCATAAAAGCGGCGGTCGTCATCCTAGATCAAGGATGGACGAGCCCAACCGAGAATCAGGCACGACGGTGCTGTGGAGCCCGTTCGTGCTGCATAAAAGCGGCGGTCGTCATCCTAGATCAAGGATGGACGAGCCCGATCGAGAATCAGGCACGACGGTGCTGTGGAGCCCGTTCGTGCTACATAAAAGCGGCGGTCGTCATCCTAGATCAAGGATGGACGAGCCCGACCGAGAATCAGGCACGACGGTGCTGTGGAGCCCATTCGTGCTGTATAAAAGCGGTGGTCGTCATCCTAGGTCAAGGATGGACGAGCCCGACCGAGAATCAGGCACGACGGTGCTGTGGAGCCCGTTCGTGCTGCATAAAAGCGGCGGCCGTCATCTTAGATCAAGGATGGACGAGCCTGATCGAGAATCAGGCACGACGGTGCTGTGGAGCCCGTTCGTGCTGCATAAAAGCGGCGGTCGTCATCCTAGATCAAGGATGGACGAGCCCGACCGAGAATCAGGCACGACAGTGCTGTGGAGCCCGTTCGTGCTGCATAAAAGCGGCGGTCGTCATCCTAGATCAAGGATGGACGAGCCCGACCGAGAATCATGCACGATGGTGCTGTGGAGCCCGTTCGTGCTGCATAAAAGCGACGGTCATCATCCTAGATCAAGGATGGATGAGCCCGACCGATAATCAGGCACGACGGTGCTGTGGAGCCCGTTCGTGCTGCATAAAAGCGACGGTCGTCATCCTAGGTCAAGGATGGACGAGCCCGACCAAGAATCAGGCACGACGGTGCTGTGGAGCCCATTCGTGCTGCATAAAAGCGGCGGTCGTCATCCTAGATCAAGGATGTACGAGCCCGATCGAGAATCAGGCACGACGGTGCTGTGGAGCCCGTTCGTGCTACATAAAAGCGGCGGTTGTCATCCTAGATCAAGGATGGACGAGCCCGACCGAGAATCAGGCACGACGCTGCTGTGGAGCCCGTTTGTGCTACATAAAAGCGGCGGTCGTCATCCTAGATCAAGGATGGACGAGCCCGACCGAGAATCAGGCACGACGGTGCTGTGGAGCCCGTTCGTGCTGCATAAAAGCGGCGGTCGTCATCCTAGATCAAGGATGGATGACCCCGACCGAGAATCAGGCACGACGGTGCTGTGGAGCCCGTTCGTGCTGCATAAAAGCGACAGTCGTCATTCTAGATCAAGGATGGACGAGCCTGACCGAGAATCAGGCACGATTGTGTTGTGGAGCCCGTTCGTGCTGCATAAAAGCGGCGGTCGTCATCCTAGATCAAGGATGGACGAGCCCGATCGAGAATCAGGCACAACGGTGCTGTGGAGCCCGTTCATGCTGCATAAAAGCGGCGGTCGTCATCCTAGATCAAGGATGGACGAGCCCGACCGAGAATCAGGCACGACGGTGCTGTGGAGCCCGTTCGTGCTGCATAAAAAGTGGCCCTTGCTGTGATATGGACTTACGATGCCATGGTCATTGCCATGGTCCTTACATTGCCATAGTCTATAGGAATGGATCCGACTCGACTCGACTTGACCTGGACATACATGGACTTGACACGACTTGACTCGACAAACATGGACTTGACTCGATTTGTCTCGACAAACATGGACTTGACTCGATTTGACTCGACAAACATGGACTCGACTCGACTGGCCATCCTCCAATCCCATAGTTCCGATGATCCAGGCCGCCCATACTAAAGACACAAAGCAGTTTCTGATGATCTGGCGCAGGTTGACAGTTTTCAGTCTCTATCTTCCCCGATCAGGGATCATTCAGTAGCATAATCTCTTGCCCAAGTTGTATTACTCTCGATTTCTTTTGTATTTTCCGGCGAGTAGTGTTTGAAGAATAAAACTCGATTCTTTCCCCAATCTTGTGACTTCATTGTTTTTTTTTCCTTTTTGTATTTTTCAAACCCGAACTCCTAGTTCCTTCGTTTTTATGGTTACCGGACGCGACTTGGATTCGTCCACACTCATAATTCTGACACCCTTCCCAAGCTGGTTTTGATCCCTCTATTCGGTCATAAAGCCAGGGTCGACATATTTGGGCTGAAATATCTTCCTCCAAACCATTCGTGCTTCGGTCATCTACTGCGAATTCTGATTTTTATCCGAACATCATTCGTTTTTACCGTATTTGTTCTGACACCTTTCTGTTGAAGACTATTTTATTGTGAATCAAGTTTGTCTGTTTTGTCTGTAATAGATTTAGATGTTTACTATTTCTGTTCTGCACTGATTAAATATATATGTTAGAATAGTATTTAATATGGGCCAAGTGTCAGGCCCATACTTAGGCGAGAAGCCCTATTTTACGCATACCTGAGCCTCGCCTATAAAAGAGAGCGGAGGACTCAGGTTTGCGGTTAACTTTTCGTATCTGCTCAAAATAGCCTTAGCGCTTATCATTCTTGTACGAACTGTTCACGGTATATCAGAGAAGGTTTACGCTTGATCTTTCTGTGTTCATCTTTGTTGTTAATCTTTCATCTGTATGCCATATTATCTTGCTGTTATAGAAAACGGGGACTAACAAATGGTATCCCAAGCAGTCAGGTTTTGACCTAGTCGGATACTCTGACGCTGATTTTGCTGGTTGCCGGATGGACCGCAAAAGTTCATCGGGAGCTGTCCAGTTTTTGGGCGATAAGTTAGTCTGCTGGTCTTCCAAGAAACAGAACTGTGTGTCAACATCTACGGCCGAGGCAGAATACGTCGCGGCTGCTAGCTGTTGTTCACAAATATTATGGATGAAGACCCAGCTAAAGGACTACGGTTACACTTTCCACCATATCCCGATCTACAGCGACTCACAGAGCGCCATCGCCATCACCAGCAACCCGGTTCATCACTCCCGCACCAAATACATCGACCTGCGCTATCATTTCATCAAAGACCACGTGGAGAAAGGAGATATTGACATGTACTTTGCAAGCTCCGAGCTTCAACTGGCTGATTTGTTTACTAAGGCACTGGATGAAAAGAGATTCCAGTTTTTGGTTTCCAAATTAGGCATGTTGAACCTCGAGCCTATGTAATTTTGTTTCCACTGGTCTGTAAAAAAGTGTGTGTGCGTGTGTCTGTAAATAATGTGTGTGAGTTGCATTTTGTGTATTGTGTGCGTTGCATGTGTCCAGGGGAAGAAAACCGAGAAAAATTCAAAAATAGTGTGTGTGCATTTGCATTCATCGAGGGGGAAAAAAGGGCGAAAAAGATCAAAAAATAGTGTGCGTGAGTTGCATATGTACATAGTGTGTGTGCATTGCATTCATCGAGGGGGAGAAAATTTGAAAATCCCAAAAATAGTGCGTGTGTTGATTTCAGCGAGGGGGAGTACTTTTATTGATCAGAAATGGGTCTTTTAACCCTTAAGGCCAAATGGGCCCAACTACCTGGTTCTGGCCCAAACCTTCTTCTTTTCTCAAGGCCCGTTCCTAACCTCGCGTATTTAAACCCTTCAGATCTCTCGCTCCTCCTCATTTCCTTACGCCTTCTCTCTCGCAAAGTCCAGAGCTCGAGATCTCGCTCCTCCTTCTCCGTCTTCTCCCCTAACCTCACTCCCTCTCACTCATCTCCCCAAACTGCCTCTCACAAGGTAACACCTCGCTTCGATCTCCCCATCACACCATATCACTCCCCTCACACTCTGCTTTTCGAACGCTACCACGAACAGTCCCAAAACCGAAAACGCGATTTCACAAATTCAAAAAGTTTTGGTTGAATGTTTATTTTGTTGTTGTGTCTTTGCAGGTGGATGTCATCTTCTTTGTGCGAACACGAGCTTCTGCAACTCGAGTTAAAACGCTTGGCTTCAAAATCCGGCGTTTCAAATTCGAGGACAGACCGCGAGTTTGTAAACTCGCACTCATGAGCTCGAGTTTGTGAACTCGCGTTCATGGGCTCGAGTTTGTAAACTCGCGCTCATGGCCTCGAGTTTGCAAACTCGCGTTCATGGGCTCGAGTTTGTAAACTCGCGCTCATGGCCTCGAGTTTGTAAACTCGTGTTCATGGGCTCGAGTTTGTAAACTCGCGCTCATGGCCTCGAGTTTGTAAACTCGTGTTCATGGGCTCGAGTTTGTAAACTCGCGCTCATGGCCTCGAGTTTGTAAACTCGCGCTCATGGCCTCCAGCTTGTAAACTCGTGTCCATGATCTCGAGTTTTATAACTTGGTGCCAGAACTCGTTTCTTCATCTCTTAAATCATCAACCCCAAGGGGAAACTCATTCTTTTGCTAACGTGTGCTATTCTTTCAGCTAAATATGTCAGGCACTCAACAAGACACCTCCCAGGAGGATGCACTCTATACTCAGTTGTTCCCCAAATACAAGTGGGTTCGGCTACAGGACAACAACTACCAGCTTGACCTTGTCGTCTTCAAGTGCCCTGACCCAGTTATCCCTGTCATTCTTAAGGGGCACTACATCTGGCCGGCACTCACCAAAGCTATACCGGTCCCCGAAATCTATCTGCAACAGTTATGGGGGACCATGCACATGCTCTCCAAGAAGGACGCATCTAGTATCAGTGCCACGCTCCACAACAGAAGGCTGGCATTAACGTCGTCCACACTAAGAACCACTCTGGAGCTGCCTGTCCACCAATCTTATGATCCGCTTCCCTCAAAGACTGAACTGATGCAAGGATTGGAGAGATTGGGATATGATGCACCACTGCCGTTCCTGTCTCACTTCAAGTTGATGAACCTGTCATACCCATGGAAGACATTGTTTGGCCTCATCAACAAGTGCCTATCTCCGAAGCACGCTGGCCATGACAAGTGCAACATGCAGATTTTCCAAATCTTCCATGGGATCGTTTTCAACAAAAATTATGACATGGCGCAGCTATTCTGGATCGAGCTGGTGACTCAAGTCCAGGACAAAGAGGACGGAAAAACGGGCATGACGATTCCCTATGCCAGATGATTGGCGCTCATCATTGATGAATATATGACCGCACACCCAGGGATTCCAAAGCGCAGAGATGAAGATCAGTACACTGCCCCAAGCTCCAGTACTTCAAGCGCTTCAAACATGACGCTGTGGGGATGACAATACCAGACTATCTGCTGGACTTGGGCAATCCACGACACTCCGCCGTTGTCCAGTATAGAGAGAGCTTACAGAGAGATGGCCCCATGGTTCAGCAAAACCTAGCTGGACCTGCCCCGGGGCCTAAGCCGAGAGCAAGTAAGGGTCCAAAGAGAGCCCGTAAGCCACAGAAACCAGTGGCGCGTGTGCCCCATGAAGGGAAGTCTGACGATTCTCTCGAGAGGAATCAGATGGCTGAGGGCACACGTACAAACGCTGCGGAACCTGCCAATGAGTCGTCCAGCCCGGCCCATAAAAAGGCTGACGACGAGGCATCCAATAGCGTGGCCAAGGATGATGACGATGCTAACGATGATGATTACAACGCTAACGATGATGATGACAACGACGATATTGACGACGTGGAGCACACCTTTGCCCTAATCCAAAAGGGGAACCTGCCACTTGAATCTCCTCCAAAGAAGATCACCCCTGAGGATGCAGCTCCATTTATAGCTGACCGTCCCAAGAATATAATCATCAAACAAGTGAAGGAGCCGGTCACAGCTAAGATTGCTGCTCCCCGTTCACCTAAGTCAAAGAAGCAGCGTCCTGTCAGAAAGAGTTTGGTCGCTGAGGAGGACCTACACATCTTTGACGACTGTCTTCCCTTCATCACTATAAGCCGGGCCGAATCCTTAAGTACAGGGGCCAATCTTTTTGGTTCCCGGGTAGAAGCCGCAGCATCAGGCTCAACTGCGCGTGCACCGCCCTCTCCCAGCCACTCGTTAGCCTCCCAAAAGGCTAACGTTTCAACAACACGGGACTCACCCACCTTACTGGTTCCCTCCGAACCAGTTGAGCGCTCTAGTGGACCACCGCCCGAGGCCACAACCCCCTTTTTCCACACATCGAGTCTAGGTGTCACATTCCCCACATTTTCAAATTTTTCTAAGACACCTACACCATTCACAGCACATACAAGTGCACACACCCTGAATGCAACGACCGGAGTGCAAACGATGACGGTCGGAAGCCCTGCTACGCCAACAATGACTTCATCATTGAACGCAGGCCACACATCAGCTCTCTTCACTGATGCTGTGACAACAGTTACAACCCCCGTAACTGGACCCCTTACACCCGAAGACGTTACCGTTCTCATGGACCGCTACATGGAGTCCACCATCAAACCATGGGTGCAACAAGCATTCACCGCTTGGGCACAGGACTCCAAGACAACCCCAACGGTTCATAGTGAACAGAGCCACCCTGAACCTCGCTCTTCACCCTCTCAATCAAATCCTCAACCCACTCCTGTCATCCCTATCACCTCCACCAAATCCCTTAGCCCATCACTCTCTCGGGGAACCCACGATACAGAACTAGTATCGCCCCCTACCTCGACCAATCCCTTCCACCTTACACCCACGATACCGATCTTGAACTCGCCGATCTCCTGTTTCTTCGGATGCTGGAGGTCGACGCTTGCAACCTTACACCCTTCGAACGTGACCTTCTCCAAGTTTTCCTCAACCACGACCGCCCTCAATACGGCACTTGTCGTGACAGTCCCCGAGGTTTCAAACGTTCCCATGAGGATCCCGATGATTCGGAACCTCATGAGGGGGAGAACAAGAGACCTCGGACACTTGAGCAAGCAGCCTCTACCAGCCATAACCCCCAGCCAAACACCTCATCAAACCAGCCCACCAACCAACCACCACCTTCCTCGAGCCACAACCAAGCCCAACTCTCTAGCCTGGTCGAGCTAGATGAAACATCCCGAGGCTTATCTCCTAGAGATACTGTCCGAGGAGGGGATGGAAGTCCTGTAGTGGTTACCTCTGGTATATCACAAAGCTCAGGCCATCGATCAGAACACAGCTCGAAATCGATGTCAACATCCCGAGGCGTGTCTCAAAAGGATACCGTCTGAGGAGGGGATGGAAGTCCTGACGATGCTATCTCTGATTCATCTGTCAAGTCAGGCCATCAGCCAGAACTCAGTTCTAAGCTGATGACGACGGGCAATCCTAGTGAACCCGGTTGTGCTTCACGAGAAAGATCACCGCAGCTGAGAGTCCCATACATTCCCCAAGGCAAAGACATTCATGATGCACTCGAGGATGCTGTAATACACGACGTTTGGCTGAGAAAGTGGACAGAGTGGGATGATCTTAGATGCGAAGCTGAAACAGAGGATATGCAGCGAAATTGGTGGCTGAGAGAGTTGCTGGCCAAATGCGCAGAAGATATCATACGCCTTGATGAAGAGGAACTCAAAGAAGGGGAGGACTACAAAAAGATACCCAGGGAGCTAGAATCTGTCATCAGACAAACGGCAGGCCAGATGCCCCCAAAAGAAAAGCTCTGGGAAAACATCAGAATAAATGCCCCCTTCCAAGAGGAAATCAGAAAGGGAATTTGGAGAACCGCAGACAAGCTCAAGCAGCTCAATGAACTGAAGATCCGTGGCTTGACTCACCTTAAGGGCAAACTGGCTGGCGGACACCTTCACATGCTGATGCACAGATCATCTGGAAAACAACGACAAATACTTGAAAGAGACATGAAGTCCAGCATCCACCCTATTGACGTTATCCTTGATGTGCACAGAGAAGATCATCACACCATCCCGTTCTACAGCTTCAAAGTTCGACGAACAGACTCCAGCATATTCATCTGCCAGGAAAATGATTTTATAATGATGAAAATGGAGGATATCTACCAAATGTTCATGGTAAGTAGGTATCTCTCACTGAATCGAAACATGATACACGAAGAAGGTTATGAGGCGATCAAGCGATTTATGCTGAGACAGATCAGATTCTATGCTGCCCATGATCTACAGATGGCCCTGGAAAACAATGTCAGAAAAGCAAATCTGGTAAAGCCAACTCTGTACGGTCCAGAGCTCAAAAAGTACAGACCATATCATATCTTCAAGGACCCAGTCTCTATCCTATATCTCAATCACGAGGAACAGAAAAGACTCATGTGGGTAGAAGACATTCACAAGTATTGTGATGGGACTCTGAAGATCATCCAGACTAAGCTGCAGGAAATCAAGGAGAATATAGATCCAAGACTTGCGGACGCCAGCGAGGAAGAGCTCATAGTATACAAGAAGGTGTGGACCATCCTAAAGCCCATCAACGAGCAACATGAAAAGAGAAGAATGCTGAGACAGTATGAGCATGCGCTAAATTTCAGAAAGCATTACTTCAGATCTCAAAAATAAATGCAAGACGGCACTTGATCACAAAGGGGGAGATTGTTGAAGACTATTTTATTGTGAATCAAGTTTGTCTGTTTTGTCTGTAATAGATTTAGATGTTTACTATTTCTGTTCTGCACTGATTAAATATATCTGTTAGAATAGTATTTAATATGGGCCAAGTGTTAGGCCCATACTTAGGCGAGAAGCCCTATTTTACGCATACCTGAGCCTCGCCTATAAAAGAAAGCGGAGGACTCAGGTTTGCGGTTAACTTTTCGTATCTGCTCAAAATAGCCTTAGCGCTTATCATTCTTGTACGAACTGTTCACGGTATATCAGAGAAGGTTTACGCTTGATCTTTCTGTGTTCATCTTTGTTGTTAATCTTTCATCTGTATGCCATATTATCTTGCTGTTATAGAAAACAGGGACTAACACTTTCCCAAGCCCGTTTTGATCCCTTTACCGTTCGTGATTCACGGGGTCAAAATTCTTTTAGCTGAGGTGAATTCCTCCAAGCCGTTTTGATCGTGACCACAGGGTCAAACTCTCAACTGGGACAGGGGCTCCCTCCAAACTGTTAACCCGTTCATCATTCGGTCATCCGGAATGATCCCACGTGTTAACAAGCTGAGGTGAGACTATCTCCCTTCCAAATTTGTTCTAACACCTTTCCCAAGCCCGTTTTGATCCCTTTATCGTTCGTGATTCACGGGGTCAAAATTCTTTTAGCTGAGGTGAATTCCTCCAAGCCATTTTGATCGTGACCACAGTGTCAAACTCTCAGCTGGGACAACGACTCCCTCCAAACTGTTAACCCGTTCGTCATTCGGTCATCCGGAATGATCCCACGTGTTAACAAGCTGAGGTGAGACTATCTCCCTTCCAAACCCATAATTCCGATACATTCCGAACTATTCTCTCTGGCTCGTATCATCCATATTAGGGGTCTGAGGTAACCCTTTTCAAACTGTAAGTAAGGTCACCGGATCGGGTCATTCCTTATTTATAGCTAAAAGGGCGACTCGCTTCCAAATCAAGTTAATGACTGAGGCGAGATCTTTCAAAACCATAGTTCCGATTCCCCGGACGACAATCTGTACCTTATCCGAACGTCGCTCGGTTCGTCCATATCATACAATCTTGACACCATCTCCAAGCCGTTTTGATCCCTTTGCCCATACGTAATTACAGGGTCGAATTTAGCTAAGTTGATGACTCAGCTCCCTCCAAACTGTTAACCCGTTCCTCATTCGGTCATCCGGAATGATTTTGCGTGTTAAAAAGCTGAGGTGAGAATCACTGACATCAAACTCCAGGCCATTTTGATCCCTTTAACAATGCGTAATTACAGGGTCAAACTCTATTAGCTGAGATAATGGCTCCCTCCAAACTGCTAACATGTTCCTCATTCGGTTGTCCAGAACGATTCCCACGTTAACCGCTGAGATGAGACTATCTGAGTGTCAAATTCCAAACCGTTGGCTGAGAATGACTTTCCTTCCATGTTGTTAACCCGTTCGTCATTCGGTCATCCGGAATGACTGCGTGTTAACCATGGGCTAAGATTTTCTGAGCATCGATTCTTTAAGCCGTTTTGATCCCTTTATCCGTTCATAGATCTAGGGTCAAAACTCTCTTAGCTGAGAATGATTTTCCTTCCATATTGTTAACCCGTTCGTCATTTGGTCATCCGGAATGATCGTGTTAACCATGGGCTGAGATTTTCTGAGCATCGATACTCCAAGCCGTTTTGATCCCTTTATCCGTTCGCAAGTCTAGGGTCAAAACTCTCTTAGCTGAGAATGATTTTCCTTCCATGTTGTTAACTCGTTCGTCATTTGGTCATCCGGAATGATCGTGTTAACCATGGGCTGAGATTTTCTGTGTTGCCGAACATCACTCGGCAATCCCTTTTCTGAATCTCGATCCCCTTTTCTGAATCTCGAACTTCATTTCTGAATCTCGGTCTTCATTTCTGAATCTCGATCCCCTTCTCTGAATCTCGATCCCCTTCTCTGAATCTCGATCTTCTTCTCTGAATCTCGATCTTCTTCTCTGAATCTCGATCTTCTTCTCTGAATCTCGATCTTCTTCTCTGAATCTCGATCTTCTTCTCTGAATCTCAATCTTCATTTCTGAATCTCGATCTTCACTTCTGAATCTCGATCTTCTTTTATGAATCTCGATCTTTATTTCTGAATCTCGATCTTCTTCTCTGAATCTCGATCTTCTTCTCTGAATCTCGATCTTCTTCTCTGAATCTCGATCTTCATTTCCGAATCTCGATCTTCTTCTCATTTTTTTAAGAACGTTTCTGTGCTTCGTGAGCTCCCTGTTTGAGCATACCGAACGACTATGAATCTCTTCTTTGCCGGTCATGAACGTCTTCGCGCTTCATGCCAAACATCGTTGATTTCCCCGCTTGAGTTTATCAAACGGCTTTTCATGCTTGTACTTTCTTCATTTCCTTGTTGGTCATGAACGTCTCTGCGCTTCATGCCAACATCATGGATTTCCCAGCTCGAGTTTATCAAACGACATTGCCTGCTCGAGTTTATCAAACGACATTGCCTGATTGTGATTTCTTCTTTTCTTTGTCGGTCGTGAACGTCTATGCGCTCCATGCCGAATTGTCATGAACATCTTTGTGACTCATGATCTCCCCGTTCGAGAATATCGAACGAATTTCACTGCACAATCAGTATGGTAATACCGCCGTACGACCGAACAACATATACAAGCATATATATACACAAGTATAACATTTCTTTTATATTTTTTGTTCATGACTACCGGCCAAGAAGGTAATAACAACCCTTGGCTTGGATTTATTTCTCGAACTGCCAGAGTCCACGACCGGAACCACCTAGTGGTTGGCTGGGTCGTTCTCAGAAAAGTTTTAACTAATCAAGGTACGTACTTCGCCCCGTACTGGGTTCAACTGCCGTTCGGGCACTTACTGTCAAGTGGGACCATGAATAGTCTCAACTTACTGTCAAGTGGGACCATGGGACCATGTCAAGTGGGACCATGAATAGTCTCGATGGCACTTTAAAATACGTCATCGAGGACGCTTCATCCAATTAATTTGGCCCGATCGGGGGTGGACCGATACACCCAGTCAAACCAAGCATTTAATTGAAACGTTGGTGATTTCATCATCGGAGCTTCTTCGCTCGACACTATTTAATTCGGGAACATTTTATCCCTACTAAATAATGGTGATTCAACTAATAACACTTAATACTTTAATGTATTAGCACTTGATGCCTAGCAGAACTTTATCACATAAAAACGCGTTGCCGGAGTGATACCCTACGGATGCACTCCGATCGCTCTATTACCCCGATCGTGGGTTGGCCGGTCGGCCCACTAAATCTAAATCATTTAATTTTAAATGATAATGGACTTGTCACCGGAGGCTTGCTCGTTTATTATTCAATTCAGGATATTTTAATCCCTACACATAATGGTGATAACAAACATTCCTCATAATGCTATTTGCAATCAAATTAGCAAGTGAAAGAATGAGGGTACTTAGCTGAATAGGGCTGATGTTCAGCTGTCGGAACAAGATATTGGCCCGATAAGGATTTAATCCCAATTCAGGCCCAAATTGCTTAATAACCCAGCCAACTGATGCCCGTACCACTGCCTTTCACATTTGGGAGGTGCTATCCCTGATTCATTGGCGGTTTAGAAATTGACCGAGCGGCAGTACGACATGGGTAGCCGGTTGCGAGCGGATGTCCCGATCTGGCGGCCAATCTTAGAACTCATCGAGCTTAGTGAGGAAAACCAGCGACCAAAACCGAACGGAAAGGCCCATGTAGTCAAGGCGGTAACAGATCGCACATCGCCCGACTATCGGAACTGGCCCAAGGCGATGGCCGATCGGGAGTTTATTGTGCAGGAAGTCCCTCAACGATTTTCTCTGGCTACGCAAGCTCGCCGGCCGCCGGTCGGGAAAATCTGAAATGACCAAAAATGGATCGGGAACAGAGCAAGATTGGAGTTCCCCTGCGAAGGTTTGGCCGGACGGGTATCCCGAGCAACTGTCTGTTACTTCCAGCCGGACGGGGTAGCGAGGTACCGGTCGGTATCCTGCCGCAGGTTGATAATCCATCCATGGCATCTGCCAGGAGACCGAACAGCATTTGGACAGGGGTGGCATCTTCTAAGGGTGTTTAATGCTTATTCAGGAGACCGAACGGTGCCACAAATCCAGTTGCTGAGAAGGCCCTGGGGGTTCTTTGCTGGTCCATGACCGAGTGGTGGGTTGGCCATGGACACCGAGCGGGGTGTGAAGAGAAGGTGGCTTCTCCCTTGGACGCCCGTTCGGAGGACACTGCCGTTCGGGACAGAGCAGGTGGCTTCTCTCTTGGCTTCTCTCTTGGATGCCCGTTAGGAGGACACTGCCGTTCGGGACAGAGCAGGTGGCTTCTCTCTTGGATGCCCGTCAGGAGGACACTGTCGTTCGAAGGACATTGCCGTTCGGAGGACATTGCTGTTCGGGATGCAGGTACCTATTTTTTGGATAACCACAAATCTATCAAATCACTAACCGTCCCCTGTCAAACTTCCTGTCAGTGGATAAGTGATCCTCTTATGCCAAATTAGTGGGCACGTGGGCTCCATTCTCATTTTCTTCAATCGTGGTTATTCGCAGATGTGTGAATAGAGGCCACCTCCAAGTTGCTAGGTGTGCGGGTCCCCTGGTTGGTCGGGCCGTGAACCAGCCGCCTCCTGGGATTTCCTCCGGGCATAACTGTTTGCTTGGGCGTTCCAGTCATTACGTTCCCGTTCGGGAGACTGGTGCTACTTTTGGATAAGAATGAATCTGTCAAATCATCCACTGTGTTGTCGGGCTTTTTACGTAAAAGCAGAAGTTATCTCTGTGTGTTGTCAGGTTAGTGGATTGTTGGGTCCCACCCATTATTTCTTCCACCGACGGTAGTGTTTGCACTGGGAGTTCCATAGCATCTTCCTTCAGTTTCCCATGGCAGCAGGGTAGTTTGCAACCTCCGTTGACTTTCCAACATCATTTTTTGTAGTTGAAATCAGTAGCTTTGGCATCAAAAAAATTTGTAGAATCAAGAACACATGTAGCTTTTTGAACGTTTCCCACAGACGGCGCCAATGTTGAGTTTAGTCCCGTAGATCCGAGAGCCCAACATAACTTCGGATATTAGGGATCATGGATTCGGTATAAAAATGAATAAAAATATAAAAGTGTATAAACTAGCTATTTTTACGTGGAAACCCGGAAAAGGAGAAAACCACGGGACTTTTTAGGCTAACGTCCAAGCCCGCTCTTTCTCATTATTACCCTCCCACCACTCAATTACATAATGGGAAAAGAGGCAAATAAGGCCACGTACTAACAAAAAAAGGTCAAATAAGGCCTTATTTATGAGGCTCTGTACGGCCTTCGCCATTTGGGGTGGTTCTCGGTGGAATTTTTCGATGCATGTTTTTTACCATCTTATTCATTAAGTCTAGTTTACTCATACCAAATTTCAGATAAAAAATTAATCGAGAAGGCATTCAAATGAATTCTTGAAGATAATTGCGCTTTTAACTGCGCAATTATCTTAAAGAATTCATTTGAATGGCTTCCTGATTGAATTGTTAGCTTAAATTTGGTATGAGTAACTAGACTTACTGAATAAGATGATCAAAAAATTTCATCAAAAAATTCCATCGAGAACCAATCGAAATGGCGAAGGCCGGACAGAGTCTCATAAATAAGGCCTTATTTGACCTTTTTTGGTTAGTACGTGGCCTTATTTGCCCCTTTTCCCATTACATAATACATGTATAGAAACCTCCATCAATGGAGTATGAATAAGCTAATCTAATCTAAAGAGGATGGGGAGGTAACATTTTCCGCAGCCGAGAAGAGGAAAGCAGTCCCTCTCTAAGGAAGAGCCCTCTTCCTATTTATAGAAGGGAGGGTGGGGTTTTACTCTTATGGGCCAGTAGGACGGTTGGGCCTTAATGGGCTCAATTCTTATCCTAGCGGGCCGGTTAGGCCGAAGACGGGCCGGGTAGGCCTAAATGGGCCTTGCTGTCCGGGCTTCATACCGGGTGATGACTTGGGCCTCTGAACAGTAATAGGCCGGGATAATATTCCCCAATAGTTCCTCTTTAGTTGTTCGTTTCCTTCAGTAAGAACATTTTTTGACGTTGCTGTTTTTGGTGTTAAGTCTTCTCTACCATCAACCTCCTTACCCTGTTTTATCAATAAAATTTATCATACATTACCCTAACTTGAATATTGCGGAATATTAAAACGTAACATTATATGAACCACCTTATCCAACTTCCTCTGTTCTTTGTCTTCATGTTGGGTTGGTTTTACAAAATCATCATCCTCAATCACCACAACCTGAAGGTTGTGATTGTTGTGTTATCGTCATCTGATCCGAATCTGTTAGGCATAAGTGGATCATAAAATGAGTCGTTCATAAAGATTTGAAGTTCAAATAAGCATTCAGGAAACACTCACTGCGCTTTGAACTCATCAAATTCTGGAGTAGATCCATTCATTATCAACTTAGAAACATCATAAGACGTACCAACAAAAACTTGACCTTAAAAATTTACAAACTTTCATTAGCCCGCAGTGGTCTTGTAAAAACTCCACATTAAATGTATTGTACAAAGTTTACCTTGATAGCGTCTCGGTCTCCCCATTTGTAGAATGATGTAAATTCCTTCATCCTTGTGCACATCATAAAAATCAGTGAACTGCTTGCAGTAGTGATTCCACAATGTGCATCCAATGCCATTTCCATTACAATTAGGACTCATATAATTAGGAAGCATATAAAGATTAAAACACTGATTCTGTAGCTATATCTTAAGATTAGGACACTACTCTGGATCTTCCAAAGTCAGTTCAATGAGCCTCTTCGGTTTCCCATTAACGATTGGCGTCTGTAATGGAGTCTTTCCTACGTACTTTCCAATGACGTCTGTAGGATAATTCTGTGATGTTAAATCGTATAATATTAGTGAAATACCTCCTAGTTACTATAAGAAATTACCTATTAGCAATTTGTCGTTAACAATCCTGAGGCTCTGCAATGCATCAAATTGGTGGAAATTATACACTTTATTCGGAAACGTTTCTTCATGAAATTCATAGACTGTAGTTTTTTTTGTAAAAATCCAAAAGATAGGGGTGCTCTGTGGTTTTATAGTTGTAGTAGTTATTAAAAACCAAGAAGTTCTTGATCCTAAAACACTTGTTTTCTACCAATGTAGTTTTGTACAGATGCATGAGTGGCCTCTTAATGATTGCGTGTATACGGTCACCCTGCAACAATACATAAATAAGGATTATATCATTTGAAAGATGAAAGACTTAAATTGCATGTTAAAATAAAAACCGGAATATTATTTACATCCTCATCATGAAAAACAACTTCCATTCTGGCGCCTCCTTTGGCATGAGAGGGAACCTCATAAGCTCTTACCACCCTTACTCTAAGATCCCAAGTGGATCTAGCGTGGTCAACTTCTCTGATCATAGAATACAGATTACTATTATTTTGCTCAGTGTTTTCTTTGTTTGGTGCCATTGTGTGTTTGTGTGATGTTGAGTTCGAAATGAGACCTCGTATTTATATCGTCTTGCAAACTTAGGTTTTGCAATGGTATTGAATAATCTAGTGGGTAATGTGTGTCAACCCTCTCAACCACCTTATTTATTTTCAACCAACTCATTAAATGAACAACCAATCCCAACCAATGCTTTGACTCGTACGTTAATTGCATCAAACATTGAACCAAAAGCAAATAAGTCACACCCGCATTCAATACTTTTGACCACCACGATATTATATTTGTTGTCTACGAAAACGTTTTGAGCTGCATTAAATGTTGAATCAAAGAAAAGTCGTCAAAGTCCTGCAGATATGACCCTACAAAACCGAATCTTCATTTTAAAATTTTTGTCTACCTAAACGTTTTGAACATAGAAAAGAATCTATTGTATTGAACTGCATTGAACGTTGAACCAAAGAAAAGTTGTCAAAGTCTTGTAGACATGACCCAACACAAACCGAATCTGTTAGGCATAAGTGGATCATAAATTGAGTCGTTCATAAAGATTTGAAGTTCAAATAAGCATTCAGGAAACACTCACTGCGCTTTGAAGTCATCAAATTCTGGAGTAGATCCATTCATTATCAACTTAGAAACATCATAAGACGTACCAACAAAAACTTAACCTTAAAAATTTACAAACTTTCATTAACCCGCAGTGGTCTCCTAAAAACTCCACATTAAATGTATTGTATAAAGTTTACCTTGATAGTGCCTCGGTCTCCCCATTTGTAGAATGATGTAAATTCCTTCATCCTTGTGCACATCATAAAAATCAGTGAACTGCTTGCAGTAGTGATTCCACAATGTGCATCCAATGCGATTTCCCCTACAATTAGGACTCATATAATTAGGAAGCATATAAAGATTAAAACACTGATTCTGTAGCTATATCTTAAGATTAGGACACTACTCTGGATCTTCCAAAGTCAGTTCAATGAGCCTCTCCGGTTTCCCATTAACGATTGGCGTCTGTACTGGAGTCTTTCCTACGTACTTTCCAATGACGCCTGTAGGATAATTCTGTGATGTTAAATCGTATAATATTAGTGAAATACCTCCTAGTTACTATATGAAATTACCTATTAGCAATTTGTCGTTAACAATCCTGAGGCTCTGCAATGCATCAAATTCGTGGAAATTATACACTTTATTCGAAAAAGTTTCTTCATGAAGTTCATAGACTGTAGTTTTTTTTTGTAAAACTTCAAAAGATAGGGGTGCTCTGTGGTTTTATAGTTGTAGTAGTTGTCAAAAACCAAGAAGTTCTTGATCCTAAAATATTTGTTTTCCACCAGTGTAGTTTTGTACAGATGCATGAGCGGCCTCTTAATGATTGCGTGTATACAGTCACCCTGCAACAATACATAAATAAGGATTATATCATTTGAAAGATGAAAGACTTAAATTGCAAGTTAAAATAAAAACCGAAATATTATTTACATCCTCATCATGAAAAACAACTTCCATTCTGGCGGCTCCTTTAGCATGAGAGGGAACCTCATAAGCTCTTACCACCCTTACTCTAAGAGCCCAAGTGGACCTAGTGTGGTCAACTTCTCTGATCATAGAATACAAATTACTGTTATTTTGCTCAGTTTTTTCTTTGTTTGGTGCCATTGTGTGTTTGTGTGATGTTGAGTTCGAAATGAGACCTCGTATTTATAACGTCTTGCAAACTTAGGTTTTGCAATGGTATTGAATAGTCCAGTGGGTAATGTGTGTCAACCCTCTCAACCACCTTATTTATTGTCAACCAACTCATTAAATGAACAACCAATCGCAACCAATGCTTTGACTCGTACGTTAATTGCATCGAACATTGAACCAAAAGCAAATAAGTCACACCCGCATTCAATACTTTTGACCACCACGATATTATATTTGTTGTCTACGAAAACGTTTTGAGCTGCATTAAATGTTGAATCAAAGAAAAGTCGTCAAAGTCCTGCAGATATGACCCCACAAAACCGAATCTTCATTTTAAAATTTTTGTCTACCTAAACGTTTTGAACATAGAAGAGAATCTATTGTATTGAACTGCATTGAACGTTGAACCAAAGAAAAGTTGTCAAAGTCTTGTAGACATGACCCAACAAAAACCGAATCTGTTAGGCATAAATGGATCATAAATTGAGTCGTTCATAAAGATTTGAAGTTCAAATAAGCATTCAGGAAACACTCACTGCGCTTTGAAGTCATCAAATTCTGGAGTAAATCCATTCATTATCAACTTAGAAACATCATAAGACGTACCAACAAAAACTTGACCTTAAAAATTTACAAACTTACATTAGCCCGCAGTGGTCTTGTAAAAACTCCACATTAAATGTATTGTATAAAGTTTACCTTGATAGCGTCTCGGTCTCCCCATTTGTAGAATGATGTAAATTCCTTCATCCTTGTGCACATCATAAAAATCAGTGAACTGCTTGCAGTGGTGATTCCACAATGTGCATCCAATGCGATTTCCCCTGCAATTAGGACTCATATAATTAGGAAGCATATAAAGGTTAAAAACACTGATTCTGTAGCTATATCTTAAGATTAGGACACTACTCTGGATCTTCCAAATTCAGTTCAATGAGCCTCTCCGGTTTCCCATTAACGATTGGCGTCTGTACTGAAGTCTTTCCTACGTACTTTCCAATGACGTCTGTAGGATAATTCTGTGATGTTAAATCGTATAATATTAGTG